CAACCATAACATTAAAACCACCTGCCTATTAATGTGTAAAACAGCTCGGACTCAGCAAGGCATGGACTCCACAAGACCTCTGAAGGTGTTCTCTGGTATGTGGCACCAAGACGTTGGCAACAGTCCTGTAAGTTGCAAGGTGGGGCCTCCATGGATCACACTTGTTTGTCCAGTCCATCCCACAGATGCGGGAAATTTGGAGTCCAAGTCAACACCTTAATATCTTTGTCTTATTCCTCACATTCCTGAACAGTTTTGCCGTGTGGCAGGGCGCATTACTCTACTGAAAGAAGCCACTGCCATTAGGGTATACTGTTGCCATGAATTTGGTCTGCAATAATGTTTAGGTAGGTGGCACATGTCACAACAAGTAACATCTGCATTAATGCCCAAGGACCCAAGGTTTCCCAGCAGAACATTTCCCAGAGCATCACATTGCCTCCACCAGCTTGCCTTCTTCTCATAGTGCATCCTGATGCCATCTCTTCCCCAGGTAAGTGACGCACACTCACCCGGCCATCCACATGATGTAAAAGAAAACGTGATTCATCAGTCCAGGCCACCTCATGTGCCCATTGTACACATGGTGGACAGGGGTCAACATGGGCACTATGACAGGTCTGCAGCTACACAGCCCCATGTGCAGCAGGCTGCGATGCACTGTGTGTTCTAACATCTTTCTATCATAGCCTTCATTAACTTTTTCGGCAATTAGTGCTACAATAGCTCTTGTGTGGGACCAGACTAGACAGGCTAAACTCCCCACACACATAAATGAACCTTTGGCACCCATGACCTTGTTGCCAGTTCACTGGTAGTCCTTCTTTGGACCACTTTTGGTAAGTACTAACCACTGCATACCAGGAACACCCCACAAGACCTGCCACACAAGCGCTAAGAAGGGTTTTCGAAAAGTATAAAATACACTTTTGGTAGCTGTGAAGAGATGAAAGGAGATGTTAGGTGTCTTTTGCCAGCTTTGCCAGACACGATACCTGTACCTCTTACACAGATACTGTAGCTCCAAGGTTCATATATATGAGGCAAGAAGAAAAAATGGGAAGACATCCATATGACAAAAGTATTCATATAAAATTTTATGTCATGTCATTGAAAGATCTCATGAAAAGGCATGAAAAGGTAGCCAGGAGATTCTCACTGCCCCTCAAATCTAAATCTCCTCCTGTTCTTTCTCTTTATCTCTTTCTTTCTCCATCTTTTATTTCTCTTTCTCTCTTTCTGTCTCCTTCACATTTTGCCACCCAGGGGTCTCTAATCCCAATTACTTCCCACCAGGGATTTCAGTGAAGGAGCCCAGTGATCTACAGTTTAGAGTTTCTGTTTTTCCATCCCACTTTAGGCTCTACAAATATATCCTCACTTGCTTGAAGCTTGAACTACCTTTTTATGTTTAAATTGAACACAGGACCACCTCCCCAGAGGCCACTTAAAACTTTGTCAGTGAGTTTATAAGGATCCTTACTTATCAACTTATCGAATACCTTCCCAACAGTGTACACCGTATGAGGAACCAAGGAAGCTCAGTAATGAACAGCCTTAGGACAACAAAGAAACTTGTACAAGAAAGAAACTTCTGTCTCTCTCTCTTTGAGAAGTATGTTCCCTTTTCTCTCTTCCATGAGAAACAAATAAGACAGAAAGAGGAAAAAGGCAGTGTGGTATGTAGAAATCAGGCATGTTCAGTAGATACAGGCTGTCCCTGTTGAGGAGAAATTTGATAAGAGAGGTGAGGTAGAAATCTGGCATTTGTAGAGAGAGAGGCACTTAAACTCTCGTTTCTAGGATATCCTGCCTGTTGTTCCAGGCTAATAGGATAACAGAGCATGATGGGAGGAGGCTGCTGTGAACACCATTACTGGGGCAGTCGTGGCCTAATGGTTCGAGAGTCGGACTTGTAGCTCCGCCTTTCACATGGAAGACAGGGGTCTCATGGGGAGAAACAGTAACTTTAGGGGGCAGTCGTGGCCTAATGGTTAGAGAGTTGGACTTGTAATCTGAACATGAATCTGAAGGTCATGGGTTTGAGTCTTAGGCCAGCAGGGGCTGTAGGTGGGGGGAGTGAATGATCAGCACTCTCTGCCACCCTCAATACCATGACTGAGGTGAGATCCTTGAGCAAGGCACCGATCCCCCAACTGCTCCCCGGGTGCCGCAGCTAAAAAGACTGCCCACTGCTCCAGGTGTGTGTTCATTACTGTGTGTGTGTGTGTGCTTGGATAGGTTAAATGCAGAGCACAAATTCCGAGTATGGGTCACCATACTTGGCCACAAGTCACTTCACTTCTCCTCTCAATAATGATACCTTTAATTACCAGAAACACTGTGTATTTGTGTGTGTGCACTTTTCTCTCTGTGTATCTGAGAGTGAAAATTGAGATATTCGTGACACATCGTGCCTCCAGGGGGTTTATCTTTATTATAATTCCTTTACAGGCACAGCAAGACGTTTGCAATTCCACATTATCTGTAAATTACTGACAGTGCTGCTGATCATTGCACTGGGAAATATCTCCATTCATTACCTAATCTACTGCAACAGTAACACGTTCCAGATCAGCAGAACTCAAATACTCATTCTTTGGATTCTGGGTAAAGTCAGCTCTTGCTCTTTAGTTGTTCTTTTCATGCTTTCACTGAAAAGAACAACTATTAGATAAGCATCCAGTATAAGCAGTAAGGTCTCTGTGAGATACCGGCTTGGATACACTTCCTTTGGTAAGTATTGACAGCACAGATTCAGACCACTGGAATGTGATAATTTATAATCTCTTATTGGAGATAATATGCTCCAAGATATGCAATATAACCATTTTGCATAGACATTTGTCGATATGATTCCTTTTTGAATGGGTGATATATCTTTTATTCCAGGCCATTTTTAATTGTCTCACTGTTTGGCCTGGTTTGGGTCATCTGTTTTGTTTGGACATGTTTCATATACTTTGGCAAGTCTGGGCTGGAAAGCTCTATGGAAAAGTACTTTGTTCTATTCCCTAATTCAGATTCAGAGCCTTTTGATCCAAGCATATGTTAATAGCCTACATTTCTGGGATGTCGATCAGCCAGTTTAAGGGGGATTTAGCTCCATCCCCCACCCCCACCCCCACCCCCCCCAAAAATATGTTTTTTAATATAGCATAAATTTAAATCAATAGATTTTCATATCCATTCTTAATTATTCAGTAGTTTCCTTTCTTCTTGATATTCACAAAAAAGTGTGATAGCCTGATACTAGGATTTGGTCGAGGCTGCTGCTCTTCTAATCCAGCTTTGCCTTGGCTATGTTACTCTCTCTGTAAGGACACCCAGTGACGTTGTGACAGGATATTGTCTAAAAGCCCACAGATAAACATTAGGTCTTATTCAAATACTTCATATAGAGTAAATATCATATAGAGTAAAAATCTGTGGCAAATTATGGTCACTCTAACTAGCTATCTGCTAGCTATCTAAGTTTTGGCTAAAATAACTAAAAACGATCTAAGTTTTTTTTGCTTATACCGATGTAATTCCGAGTTCAGTCGTCCCACTTACAAGATAAATAAATCATTACGTTAAGGGGCTAAAAGCAGAACATGAGAACTGAAACATTCAGTTACTTTTTACTTTTTGCCACTGAAAATGTGAATCCACAATTTTAAGAAAGTAGTATTCAGAGAAATTCGTACAGATCTAATATTGACTGTGCACAGTCCACTGGACAGTCCTTATGCATATCTCAAACCAAAGCAATTTTTTGTATTCTGTGTGGCTGCGAAGTGGAAAAGTTGCAACTACCCGTGTAGGAATAATGACAGTCTCCCCACCCAAAAAACAGGTACACAGACACCCACACACATCAATAGAGAAAGAAAGATGCTGATACACAGAGACACACCATGTATTGTGGAGTTTAGTTACTCATCACTGTGATGAATAATGCGACATTAAGCCCTACATCACTATGTCATTTCTCTCACTTCCCCTTACTCTCCAACGCATGGTTTCCTCTCTTTTCCTTCCACACTGACACTTGAGTTGATCTGTTTTGTCATTATAGCACAGAAACACACTGAGGCAGCAGAGGCATAACTCGAGATTTATGAAAGTGGGCCCACTTTCTTGTCTTTACTAGAAGGGATTTTTTTTTACCTTACCAAATAACCATTTTTTATGATTATTTCTATGTTAATATTCATAAACATTAACATAAAAATAGTCATAAAAATGGTTATTCGGTAAGGTATGTATACATGTGTGGCCTACAGTATATTCTCACTAATGAGGATATATGAAGGGAATAGCACTCCATCCCCAACTAGAGGACAACAGGGCTGTTAGTCAAAAACAACCAACTAAAACTAAAAATATCATAAAATCATTTAGCCTTGTAATAATATTAGGCCTACATCTTCAAATTCATCATTGTCACTAAAAGCCTAATGTCCCACTCAGTTTCTTCTTGATCACTAACCTCCATCAGACCTGCTTCGTGAGCATTTTTTTCTCTCCCTCTCCTTGGCTGTATTTAGCAACACATTTAAAAAAAAAAAAAACTCAGATTTACTAGAACTTGCAATTATACTTACAATTTATTTACAATATTTACCAGTTACAATGATAAAATAACAAGCTGTATTAGCTTGTCAGACTGGTGCTGATATATTTAAGTTTGACATGTCAGTCATTTTCATTACCGTTTCAGTGTTTGGCTAAAATGGCTAGCTCATCAGCTATCTAGCACCAGTGATATGTAGTCTATCCCATTTTCCTTACCTCACATAAACCTAAATTTAACTAGCTAACAAGCAGTTTTCATTCGAGCTGCAAAGTGGGGGAAAAAAACATGGATGCCTCCATGTTCAACTTTTGTTAGCAAAAAGCTAGCCAGCCAATTGTGATGAAAGATGCATATTAACCTCCTCAAATCTGTGAACTGTATAGTTAATGTTATAAATTTAACAAGCAAATATGTCTTTATGTTGACTGATCTAAACAAATGCTAGTTAGTATAGTGGACAGTATCTCTGCCTGTCACGTGGAAGAGCGGGGTTCAATTCCTTGATAGGGAGAAACAATAACTTTAGGGGTAGTCGTGGCCTAATGGTTAGAGAGTTGGACCTGTAACCTGAAGGTGAATCTAAAGGTCATGGGTTTGAGTCTCAGGCTGGCAGGGATTGTAGGTGGAGGGAGTGAATGACCAGTGCTCTCTTCCACTCTCACTACCATGACTGAGGTGAGACCCCTGAGCAAGGCACCGAACCCCTGCCACAGCAAAAAAAAAAAAAAAAAAAAAAAGGCTGCCCACTGCTCTGGGTGTGTGTTCATGATGTGTGTGTGCGCACTTGGATGGGTTAAATGCAGAGCACAAATTCTGACTATGGGTCACTGTGAGCAGCCATGTTGATTTGACATCACTTGGTGACCTCGAGGTTGACAAGAGTGTCCCGAATTCTGAGTTGGGGGGCCTCTTTCTTTGTTTTTTCCAAATTGGAGGTTGAAAAAGATGAGTTCTGACTTTTAGTCGATTCAGCATAAGTCTGTTAAACCACACATTCATGTTTTGCCAAATGGCCCTTCTCACATGATATAGGAAAAGGGCTCTGAGTAAATGCATGTGATTTATGGCATAACTTATTTTTTACTTTTTTTTTAATTATGTATTATTTTTCTAATATAATACAAAATGTGAACAAGGCATGTGTTCTGAATGTGATATTACAATTTGTGTGTCTGAATCTCAAATGGTGTTCAATTTTGCATGTAGTGGTCTATATATTCTACAGTCGTACAATGTATACCCTATATAGTGAACATGTAGTGAAGAGGAAGTCTTTTGGGATTTGATACAATTGATAATTGTGTGTTAGAAGCTTAAATGAAAATATTAATATGATAATATTGCTTACATGTATTGCTGTTGCCATGGGGAGATTGTGTGAGTTAGAGTAGGGAGATTGGTGCACCAAGGTAAATGTATACTATGTAAGTGTGAAGTGCTTGTAGAACATGCCATCGTTACACTCAATGGAAGCCACATGCAAAAATATTTCACTGATGTTCATACAGCAGTGCCTGATGTCATGGCTCCTGGAAGGGTTTGCAAGCCCATGGCTCCAGTGTTAAATAGGTACACACACATATCTACCCACAAGACACATGCTACAAGCAATAAAAACAGTAATGGAGATTGTGGTTGTGCCTGTGAGAATGATATCACAGAGTTACTAACATCTACGGCTGATCCATACCGTTTACGAATTTTGACCTGATGCGGGAGAGACCATCTTTTTGTTAAAAAACAGCAGTTTGACCAAAGACAAATTAAATTCTCCTGACAGAAAAGAATGGAAAAGGATGTGGGAGGTGAAAGAGACGGCTGTTTCTACTAAGCTACTTTCACTTTGCTTATTATTAGATAAAGTCACACCAGACTTTTGCCTCACTGTTGCTTGGCGCGTATCTGGGGAATAAAATTAGTTAATTGGTCCATCGAAATACTGAACACTAGGGATTTTGTGGTAAAATTCTTTTGATTCACTGTGTCTGATTACCCCTGTATTTCACAAGTGGAGTTCATGTATTATGTTAACTGGGACTCCTAGAATGTGTTAGATATCTAAGGACGGATACTCTGGCTGTGTACTTTCATCATAATGACTGCACTTTCTCACACCTCACACAGTCTCAAGCCTGACATCTCATCTGCAAATTGGGATTGATTTGCTATTAAACTATGGCAATAAATCAAAGCGGACAGAGCATCTCATTACTGCAGATTTCCACAATAATGAAGCGGGTATTAATTGACTATGAACATATTTGAGCTGTCTCTCTGGGAACGGAAGGTGGATACTCAGGGGCAGTGTTTCAAGGGAGGCACTTATTCAGGGAAATTGAATTCACCTTCAGGTCACCTAGAAAAACATCACAACGCTCAAGATATTGAACTCTGAAGATATTTCATCAACTCTGAAATATCCTTTTGTGAAAGATATTCAAATCACCCAACAGTTTCTATTTTTCTCTTCAGAAATCGAACCCTCTGTAACCTTGGCCATTTTTAAGCCAGTCCTAACTTATAACACTAGTAAAGTTTGGCTGAAGAGAGGGGAATAGTTCAAACCAATTAAAAGTATGCGGGGTGGAGGGAAGCCTCGAACATGGAGTTTTCTATCCTACCCTCTACTCAGTTCAAAAACGTTATCCCTCTGTGTATAATTACACAGGGAGCAGGACTGCAGTCTTTGCGTGTATGTGTGTGTGTGAGAGAGAGAGAGAGAGAGAGAAAGAAAAAGAGAGAGAGAGAGATTCATCTGGTTCTGTCCTCTGGAGCCCACATTCATCATTGCTGTAGCTGAAACATACAGAGCCAGAACACACAGCTGGCCGTTCCTCAGAGGACCTTCACCTGTAATACAACACCCACTTTTTACTTCACAGTGCCTTTCACACAATTTCATAGGATTGTCTCACATAGTTAGGTTGAGGTCTCATTTAGCAATGCGATATTATTGATGATATTGCCACAGACAAAATGAATATAGCATTAGTGCTGCACTTTGCTGTTCTATCATATAAACCACAAAAGGTGGAAATTGTTGCTTCTTCAAACTAACAAAGAAAAACACAAGAAGTCAATGCTATAATTGAATTGTACATACTAATGCTTAGTAATATGTTTTGTAGCCGATGGCTAGATTTCTTGCCCACTATCTTCTGTTGGTTTTTATAGATACACTGTATAGCAAAAAGGTTTGTGGACACCTGACCATCACAGCCATATGTGGGTCTTCCCAAACCTGTTGCCACAAAGTTGGAAGCACACAATTGTATAGGATGTCTTACAATTTCCCTTCACAGGAACTAAGGGGTCCAAACATGTTACACCAGGACAATGCCCCTGTGCACAAAGCAAGGTTCATGAAGACATGGTTTGTCAAAGTTAGTGCAGAAGAGCTCGAGTGGCCTGCACAGAGCAGTGACCTCAACCGCACTGAACACCTTCGGTATTAATTGGAACGCCATGTACTCCCCAGTCCTTCTCACCCAACATCCGTGCCTGACTTCACTAATGCTCTCGTGGCTGAATGAGCACAAATCCACACAGCCATGTTCCAAAATCTAGTCGAAAGCCTTCCTAAAAGAGGGGAGGTTATTATAACAGCAAAAGGTGGACTGAATCTGGAATGAGAATTGTTCAAAAAGCACATATTGTAAGGCCATAATGGCTTACTACATAGAGTCAAACATAATGTACATGTTGTATATGTTTTGGCCTAAGACTTGATAAAGGTGTATTGTTGACTGAAGTAATTAGTGAAGTTAATCCTTAAGTGTACATTTCTGAATCAGAATATATTTGTACTTAATTTTCGAAACAAGTAGTTTTAATTTAGGATTTAGGAGAATCAGCCAGCAAGTACTCAGCTTGTTTGTGAAGTTTAGGAAAATCTTCCTGAATGAAGCTCCCTCATCAAGAATCCTGTTAAGAATTTTAAATAATTTCATATTTTTGAATACTTTTCTTGTTCAGTGCATAATTCCAAATTCATTTTCCTCTGAATATGTAAATATTATAAATATTGTATCGTATTCAAACTAGGGCTGCACGATATTGAAGAAAAATGCGATATGCGATAACTTGTTAAATAATGCGATATGCGGTACGATATTACTATAAGCGTGTAAATATATATATTTAAAAACTGAAAATGACATAACCAATATATGTGTCATGTTCTTTTGAGGAAAGAAAGCATTCTCTGCTATCTGCATCGCTGTAAACCTTTGATTTTTCGTAACATTTTGAAGTATTAAAATCATTCAGTTATCTCAAGCCCTTGCAATATGCATATCGTGAATTTACATTTGCGATATTTAAATAATTTCGATATATTGTGCAGCCCTAATTCAAACTGTGAAATTTGAAACCACAGGTAAAAAAATCTTTTGCATTGTTTTCTTCCACATTAGACTGACATGAAGCACTCTCCATTATTTCTAAACAACTGGCTGATAATTGCATGTTTTTAATCTGCTGATGACAATAATCTGCTCTAGTCTCAATTTTCCTCACTGTCTTCCCCCCAGCTTGAAAAAGCTTCAGATTTACACAAATCTTATTTCATACATTTCACAGTTGAGTTGTTCTATATGTCTATATTTTCGTACGCAGGGTTCTCTTCATACCAAGCTTCAAAGATAGCCAGTCTAGTCCCTTGTGTGTTAATGAAGTAAGGCAGTAATGGCGTGCAGAAGAGCACTCACTCATAACTAATGCAACACTTGATGGAGGGCTTGTCTCTACAGCTGCTTTTTTCTTCTGCCTTGTTTTCTGTGTTTATTTTTAGCTCTGCTGTTGGATAGTTTATGCTCCACTGCTGCATTGATGCACATATGCCCAGTTTAGCCAACCCCCCTCCCTAGTGCTTGATGGACTGCAATGCTTTAGTGTGTGATGTCATCGTCAGTGCTTCTGGGACACTTGAGTTGACTGAGATTATGTAAGATAATGCTTTCAGCCAGGACGCCATGACATCAGTAAAGGATCAGAAAATCTGAGCTGCCTGCTACTAAATCGAGAAATAATGTATGCTGATTAGTGGTGTTTATGCATCTGTTTATTTTCTTCTCTGTGCAACTGAGCTGATTGTGTAAGATGGCGTGCTCTGGTTGGATGTGTGTATATCTCTCCTACTGAGCATGTGCCTGGCTAAATGGCTGCAGGTTTGGTTGAAAACTACATCATATCTTGACTGAACATAGCAGAAAAATAATTTGACAACCTTACACTAGTGTTTCTTTCATATTTCAAGTTTCCACATTTTTTGCCACATTGGGTCTATTTCTGGGTTTTTTTTCAGGAATGCATCAAACATTTTGTTGTGTCTTGAATCGGGTTTAATAACAGTTTAAATGTTGCTACAAACAGAGCTATAAGTTAAATAGTGTCAGCTGGCATCCAGCAATGCAGGACGAGTCCTATCGAGTGTTTTGTTCTTTTCTCTGCAGAGCATGCTTCAGTGGTAGCAGGCTGTGGAGCATTGTACTCTCTTTACGTCTCAGTTAT